ACTAATTAATTTAATTTAATTAATTAATTATTTATTTATTTATTTATTATTTATTTATTTATTTATTTATTTATTTATTTATTTATTTTTATTTTTAGGAGACTCGCTGGTGATGGAGGCCGAACTGCTGACTTGGAAGCCAAAATTCGGAATTGCCAAATTCAAAGGCCGAGGGTTTGTGGACGGCCAGTTGGCCGTGGAGGTCGAGGAGATGACTTTCGCCTTCGGCCGCTAGGGTTTAGGGTTTAGGGTTTAGGGTTTAGGGTTTAGGGTTTAGGGTTTAGGGTTTAGGGTTTGGGGGTGCGGTTTGGAGCCAGCGCCCACGGGCACCATTTGAAACGCCCGGACACACTTGAAGTCTGCCCGCGCAGGCAGCAGCTAGCTAGCTAGCTAGCTAGCTAGCTGGCTAGCTAGCTAGCTAGCCAACTAGCTAGCTAGCTGGCCAACTAGTTAGCTAGCTAGCTAGCTAGCTAGCTAGCCAACTAGTTAGTTAGCTAGCTAGCTAACTAGCTAGCTGCTCAGACCGCGAGCTAGTTTGAAAGCAGCAGGAAGAGAAGTGCTTTTCCCTTCGCTGCACTGGCCCAGCTAGCTAGCTAGCTAGCGAGCTAGCCAGCTAGCTAGCTAGCTAGCTAGCTGGCTAGCTAGCGAGCTAGCCAGGTGGCCAGAGGCAACTGGTTGGCTGCTAATGGAGCAGCTACTTCACAATGCTTCCGAGTCCAGGGTCGCCGTAAATTCTGGGGCGGTGAGGGTTTAGGGTTTAGGGTTTAGGGTTTAGGGTTTAGGGTTTGGATGGAACAGACCTGCACATGTTGCTGGTCGCCTTCACCACCTCCCACACTGCAGCAGCAGCAATATTTTTAAGCGTTGCAACGGACGGACCCAATCAGGGTTTAGGGTTTAGGGTTTAGGGTTTAGGGTTTAGGGTTTAGGGTTTAGGGTTTAGCGCACCTTGGCTGGTCCCCATGTAGAGGGAGGCGTAGACGGGGTAGGGCAGTTTGCAGGTGTACTGACAGCACGTGAACAAATTTGACTTCTCAACTCCCAAACCCTAAACCCCAAACCCTAAACCCCAAACCCTAAACCCCAAACCCTAAACCCTAAACCCTCACCGGGAAGTTCTTCAAAACGCACAAGTGCACTGGGCCCACGAAGAGACAGCCGCACATCAAAGACATGACTCCATTCAAAACGTGAGTTATCGAATTGAATATGTTGCTGGCCGTCATTGCGCCCCGCCTGAAGGGTTTAGGGTTTAGGGTTTAGGGTTTAGGGTTTAGGGTTTAGGGTTTAGGGTTCAGCGTCAAGGGCTTGCATTTTGGGATTTAGGGCTTGCGGTGTAGGGTTTAGGGTTTAGGGTTTGGCGAGAGAGGAGCAGCAAATGAAGTGTTGAATTGCGAATTGGAAAGAATTAAATAAATGAAATAAAGAATTAAATAATGAAATAAAGAATTAAATAATGAAATAAAGAATTAAATAATGAAATAAAGAATTAAATAATGAAATAAAGGATTAAATAATGAAATAAAGAATTAAATAAATGAAATAAAAGTTTAAATGAAAGAATTAAAAGAAAGTTTCGGATTTGCTCACCTGGCGTAGTTGCAGCGGTTGACGAGGTGCTGAGACACCGGAAAAAGTTGAAAAGTTCGTTTTTGTTGTTGAAATGAAAATTATTTGAATTAAAAATCATTTATTTGATTTAATTTTGTTTTTTGTTCTTTTATTTCGTTTTATTTCCGCTTTTTTTGCTTTATTTCGTTTGCTTTCCGCAGCTTTCCCCGCGCCCACCTCCAGCTTCTTGCACGACTGTTCGTCTTTGCAGGGCACGTCTGAGTTGAAGAAAAGAGAAAACGCGAAATAAAAGAATTAAAATAAACTTTTATTTATTTTAAATATCTTTTAATTAAAATTAAACAATTTTAAATCTGTTTCAACGAAGATCGGCGACTTGTTCTGCAGCGGAGGCCCCGACAGCCCCTGCACCTTCGCCTGTCTGTACGTACACCCGGTGAGTTCAAGTCGGAAATTCAAAAAGTGGAATTCAAATGAATTAAATTGAAATAATTAATTATTTGAAATTTAATTTTAAAGTTTAATTCAAAAACAAACTCAAAATGCCTCAAGTACCTTCATTTGCTTCGAGAGCGCAGCCACCGCCAGGAAGTGGGACCACTGGGGCTTCACTTCCGTGTTGCAAACTTCCGCCAGCTGGCAAATTGAAGTCGAAGGGAATGAAATTCAATAATTTGAAATAAATAAAATAAAATAAAATAAAATAAAATAAAATAAATAAAATAAAATAAAACAATTTAAATGAACTAAATGCACACAAGACCCCTCCAAACTGGCGGAGTGCAAGCGGATCTGGGGAAGGACCAGCAGCGCCGGAGGAGACACGCGGCGGATGTTCGTGGCTTGATTTGTTGCATTTAAATTGGAATTATTTATTTGTTTGGATTTAAAAATTAAAAAATGAAAGAAATGAACTTCATTTTGTCCTTGGAGTGTATTTACCCTGTGGAACTGCTGCTTGATCAGCTTGACCACGTTGCGGACCAGCAGGGCCTGGGGGTCTTGGGGTGTATGCTGAGGTCGGAGTTTGAAATGAAGTCTTTTTCGGCGGTTTGACTCCAAATTTGGCGGAAATGAACTTTAAATGCGAAAAATTTGAATTAAAATTCAAAATTGATTCAAATGGCCTTTCATTTAGTTCCAATTCGAGCAAGTGCGCACCTGCTCGCGGCCGAGGCTGCTGTACTGCGCGTACACCGCAGGCCCGAAGTGGGCCGTGAGCGTTTCCTGAAGGGGGCGTTTGGCGTGGAAAAGAAGTGGAAATTGAATTTAAAAACGCGAAAGTGAATTGTTTTTGATTTTGAATTTTGTTTTGCAACTTATTTCAGCTTTTCGCGCGCAGTTACCTCGACAAACGCCTCCTCCGCCGCGGGGAGGTCTGCGGGGCTGCGGCGAATGGGCAGCAGCAGCAGCAGCAAACGGCCAACTCGCCTACGCGTGCGCGAAGTCCTTCAGCATTTTTCTTCGAATTTTGCGCAAAAAAGAACAAAAAGAAATAAATAAAAGGGAAACAAAAGGGAATTCCGCAGCAGCGGCAGCGGGAAACACCTGAGGGCGGACACTGCTGCAGCTGCGGAAAAAAGTTGAACTCGCGGAAAGCTGCACGAATTTGCAAACTTTCACCTCCATACTGTTTGTCCAGCCGCAGTTCGAGTTCGCGGACCACTGGGGAGCAAAAAAGAACCATTTGGCGGCATTTTTCGCGAAGATCGGCGGCAGTTCAACTTGGGCTGCACTTACGGGGCAGCGGCAGCGCCGGGGGGCCCCCGGGGCCCGCCGAGGCCTCCCGAGGCCCCAGGGCCCCCCAAAGGAAAAACAAAACCACTTTAGCGTTCATTTGCAACAAAAACGACGCAAAAAGTCCACAAAATGATTTAAGTGGCAGCAGCAGCAGCAGCAGCAGCAGCTGCTGCTGCCGAGCTGCCTATACACCCCAGCGCTCGCGCCCGCTCGCCAGCAGCGCCGCGCTTTCTTCCGCCTCTGCAGCAAACGCCAAACACTTTTATTTATTCTTTTTATTTCTTTTTATTTCTTTTATTTCTTTTATTTCTTTTATTTTATTTTATTTTCTTTTATTTCGCTCTAGTGGCATTTAAAGCCGCTTTCCACCTCACCTGCTTCCTCCGAGCCGAACAAATCCTTCAAACTGAACAGCAGCCGCGGCGCCCCCACGGGGCTGCAGCCTCCTGCTGCTGCTGCTGCTGCTGCGTCTGCTGCTGCAGCACGGAGATAAGCCTTTCTGCACTCCAGCAGCAGCAGCAGCAGCAGCAGCAGCAGCAACAGCAGCAGCAAATGCCAATGATTCAAAAGGCGAACTGCCGCGGGGCCAGGCGCCTCCAGAACCCCAAACCCTAAACCCTAAACCCTAAACCCTAAACCCTAAACCCTAATTGGCTGTTTTAGCAGCATTTTAAAGGCCGAGAAGCCCGCATTTGGCCCGAACTCACCTGCATGCAACAGCAGCAATTAAAAGACTGAAGATCATCACCATAATTGAAAAAAACTGACAAAGTGCTGCTGTTGCTGCTACAGTCCGCAGCGCAGCAGCAGCAACGGCGTTCGCCGGGCGGCCCCACAGAAACCTCATGGCCACATTTTGGCTGATGTCTGCAGCAGCAAACAGCAGCAGCAGCAGCAACAGCACTAGCAGCAAACGCAATAGCAGCAGCTGCAGCAGAACTAGCAGCAGCAGCAGCAGCAGCAGCAGCACTAGCAGCAGCAGACATGCAGCCCGTAGCTTCAAAAACGCTGCGCGTCGCAGCAACAGCCGCACCCGTCACAGCAAACGTAGCAGCAACAGCTGCAGCAGCAGCAGCAGCAGCAGAAGCAAAAGCAGTAACTGCAGCAGTAGCAGCAGCAGCAGCAGCAGCAGCAGCAGCAGCTGGAAAGCTTACGCCGGGCGAGTTGTGTACAAAATGCGGGAATTGCTTGCAGCAGAACTGGGCCTTGGATGATCTGCAGACACAAGTGCAAAGCTAAACCCTAAACCCTAAACCCTAAACCCTAAACCCTAAACCCTAAGCTGCCGCAGCAGCAGCAGCTCCGTCTAGAAGTAAACACCAAAAACTATTCATCAAAATATATTTTATTATTTATTTAAGAGAGTATTTTATAACAGAGATATTTGACATTATTTAAATGTATACTTTATAGTATTTATATATTACAAAGAGAGATAATGCACACGCAGCAGCCGCAGCGGCTGCTGCTGCTGCTTCTGCAGCAGCAGCAGCAGCAGCAGCAGCAGCAGCTGCTGCTGCTGCTGCTGCTGGCAGCAACTTTAAAAGGATTTATTCTTTGGTCAAATGGTGGGCGCGTGCGTGTAGATACACTTGAGCAGCAGAAACGAAAAATGAAATAAAAATAAAATAAAAAGAAATGAAAATGCATGCAAGGCTGCATGCAGAACGCTGCTGCTGCGCGGTGTACGTACACCTGGCGCCTCTCACCTGTATAAAGCTGCTTCCTCCAGTCTTGCTGCTGCTGCTGCTGCTGCTGCTGCTGCTGGTGCTGCTGCTGCTGCTGACGTTGCATGCAATCAGTGCTGCAGTGAGTAGCTGGCTGGGCAATTCGTACCCTCCGTGAAACACACAAAAGGACCAAAGGGCCCCCAGCCGCTGCGCCTCCTGGGGGGCCCCCCGGGGGCCCCCCGGCGAGTTGGCTGGCGAGGCGGAAGGCATCATGTGTGCCAGTGGCCTGCGGAAAAAAGAAAAGAATTAAATAATTGTAAAATAAATAAATTAAAATTAAAAATGAAATTGTAAAATAATTAAATTCTTTTTCTTGAAATAAAATAAAATTAAAACAAAAAGAAGAATAGAGGCAGCGGAGAGCGAAAAGGGGCACTGGAGGACAGAACTTCGATTTAAATGCGCAAAACAAACCAAATAAAAACAAATAAATAAATAAATAAATAAATAATAAATAAATAAATAAATAAATAAATAAATAATAAATAAATAAATAAATAAATAAATAAATAATAAATAAATAAATAAATAAATCTGCAGCAGCTCACGAGGGAAAAGGCGTTGGCGGCGAGGGCGGTGTAGAAGAGCAGCAGGCTGCTGGGGTGTACGTACACCTTGTGCTGCAGCTGGAAAGCAGCAGCAAACTTGAAAAGCTGCTGCAGCAAAGCTGTCAGCAGCAGCGAGTCCAGGAGTGCCCAGAGGAGGAAGCCTGGCCTCACGAGGCTGAGGACTCCTGCTGCTGCTGGCGCTGCTGCTGCTGCTGCTGCTGCAGCAGCAGCAGCAGCAGCAGCAACGTCCAGCAGGCTCACCACCAGCAGCCAGCCCTGCCGCAGCAGCGGCAGCAGCAGCAAAAAGGGGATTATCACGCAGAGGGCGGAAAGGACAACAAGGAGGCTCTGCAGCAGAAAAGAATTAAACATTATAATTAATTTAATTCATTTAATTCATTTTTTAATTATTTTAATTCATTTATTTAATTAATTCATTTCCATTTAATTCATTTCATTTATTCAGCTTCACCTGCTTCAGCGTTGCGCCCTTTCCAAAGACCTGCGGCAGCAGCAGCAGCAGCAGCACAGCCCCCAGGTCCACGAGGGTTTAGGGTTTAGGGTTTAGGGTTTAGGGTTTAGGGTTTGGGGTACCTTGTAGAGAATGGCGAGGGCCACGAGGTTCGGGAGTGCTGCTGCTGCTGGCAGCAGCGCAGCAGGAACTTTGAGAGAAAGGCAGCAGCAAAAATAAATTGAAATAAAATAAATAAATAAATAAACAAGACAAGACGTGGTGCAGCGCCCTGTGCAGAACCGCTGCTTCGGGGCAGCAGCAGCAGCAGCAGCAGCAGCAGCAGCAGCAGCAGCAGCAGCACTGGGGGACACAGCTGTCGGCTCCATTGCACACGCTGCTGCTGCTGCTGCTGCTGCTGCCGCTGCTGCTGCGCTTCGTGCCGCTGCAGGAGCTGCTGCTGCTGCTGCTTTGTCTTCGGCGAAGCTGCTGCTGCTGCCGCTCCTGCTGCTGCTGCACTCAGCAGCTGCTGGTCTCTGCTGGTGTTACTGCTGCTGCTGCTGCTGCTGCTGTATTTGTTCCTCCTGATGCTGCTGCTGCTGCTGTTCTCTCCTGCGCGCAGTCCTTGCTGCTGCTCCTCAGCAGCCCCTGTTTGTGTTCCTGCTGCTGCTGCTGCTGCTGCTGCTGCTGACTCCTGCTGGGGGCGTTTGCTGCTGCTCCTGAGCAGCACGGCGCAGCCAGGGCATTAGACCTCTTCAATTAATTAAAAGAAGTTTCGATTTTTGGACTTAGTTTAATTTCGAAAAAAGGAAAAGAGGCGAAGAGCTGCTGCTGCTGCTGCTGCTGCAGCTGCTGCTGCAGCTGCTGCTGCTGCTGCTTGTCGAGTTGGTTTGCTGCTGCGCTGCAGCTGCAGCGGAGGGAAGAGACTGAAGTCTTGAAGGACTAAAAACGAAATCAAAAAAAAATCAATTAAAATTAAAAAAAGATAATTCCAAAGACAAGCCAAGACAGCAGCAGCAAACGCATGCAAGTCTGCTGCTGCTGGGGCCCCACACGGCGGCGGCGGCCCCCAGCTGCGCAGCCAGTCCGAGCTGGAGACTTCAATTTAAATTTGATTTATTTTAAATTAAAATTTTAATTTTTAATTTAATTTAACTGCAATTAAACTTAAATTCTCAAACTCACTCCCAGGACCAGGACAGAGGCTGGGGCTGTAGCTGGCTGCAGCTGGCTGCAGCCGGTGCCGACGCGAGACTTCGAGTTCGCGGGAGTTGGCCTGGATTTGCGTTTTTGTTTTTTAAATGAAAAATTAAAAGTAAATTAATTCAATTTAAAGTGAAAATAGGAGAATTGATGAGCGGGAAAGAGGCGCCAAGACGTGGTCCACTGGTGCGGCGCGAGACTTGAATTGCAAGTGGACTCGACCGGTGGCGCTCCAAACTGCAGCAAAAACTCCGCAGCGGACTCTGTCTTGATTTCATTCTTTTCAAATAATGCATTAATTCAACAAAATTGAATTTTACTTCTGTTTTCTTCGCTGGAATCTTTTGTTCCCCCGCCCATTCGCTGGCGCGAGGCTGTTTCTGTGCGGCTCTGCTGCGCCGTGGAATCTGCAAACGTGAATGAGGCATTTTCTTCCTCTAAAAGCCTCTTTTATCATTTATTTTTGTGGGATTATTAGAAAGGACTCGAGATCGCAGTGTGTTCTTCAAAAAAGAACATCTGAGCGGTTGCGTTCTTCCCTTTGCAAGTTGCAACGCGGCGGCGCTGGGGTGTATGCGCAGCTCTGGCGAGGCGCGCCGCGCGATCCTGGCACTTCGGAAGTCCAAACGAGGCCCCGAACCGGAAATTCAGTTTACATTCTTCATTTAATTAATTCTTTTCTTTTTTTTCGCGCGAAAATGCAGTCATTTACTGCGGATCGCCGGCCGACGCAGGCGGTGTCGCGCGCCGCGATCCGCGACCCGGAACACCGGAAAGCGTTCCGATTCGAGCACTTCAACGCCATGCAGAGCGCCTGCTTCGACGCCCTTTACAACTCCGACGCAAATTACGTAATTTCAGCCCCCACGGGCTCCGGAAAAACCGTAAGTGGATTTTATTAGCGCCTTCCACTCCGGCCCAGCGCCCCCCAGGTCCTCTTCGAGCTCGCGATCTTGCGGCTGCTGGAGCGCCGCAGCGCCCAAGACCGCAGCCACAGGCAAAGAGTCATTTGCCTGTGCCCCACGAAGGCCCTCTGTGCAGAGCGGTGGGCCCAACCCGCAGTCTTGCAGCAATTCAACAATTCAACTCTTGCATGCATGCATGCATGCATGCATGCGTGCATGCATGCATGCATGCATGCATGCATGCATGAAAGGCTTTGGCTGATTGTGCTGCTTTTCAGAGCTCGAGAATGGTCCGATCGTCTGGGGCCTCTGGGCATGTTTTGCTTCGAGTGGGTCTTCTTCTTTGCTGCTGCAGCGCAGCAGCAGCTGCATTCAACCTTGCTGCTGCTGCAGCAGCAGCAGCAGCAGATGAACTCAACTTTGCTTCCCAGGCTCACCGCCGACACTCTGGAGTCACCGCAGGCGCTGCCGCGCGCGCTGGCTGCTGCAGACATCATTGTGGCCACCCGTGAGTGCAGCAGCAGCAGCAGCAGCAGCAGCAGCAAATAGTGTTGCTGCAGCAGAAAAGCTGGACTCTGTCTCCCGCCTGCTGCTCACTGAAGAACCTTTTGCTGCTTCTCTCGGACTCGTTTGCATCGACGAAGTCCATTTGCTTAACATGCCCCGCCGCGGCCCTGTCCTCGTGCGCCCAAACCCTAAACCCTAAACCCTAAACCCTAAACCCTAAACCCTAACGCCTCTCGCTGCCGCTGTTGTTCCCCGCTGCAGCAGCGGGAACGAGCAAAAGCTGCCCCGAGACCCTACTGCTGCTGCGGCTGCTGCTGCTGCTGCTGCTGCTGCTGCTGCTGCTTGCTAAACTCGCTAATTGCGTTGCCAATTCAGGAAGCAGTGGTCGCGAGGCTGCTGCTGCTGCACCGCAGCTCCACAAGGGGCCCCCCAGGGGCCCCCCGGGGGGCCCCCCTCGGTTTGTTGCAGTGTCTGCAACAGTGGGGAATGTGCTGCAGCTGTCGGAGTGGCTGCGGGGCTGCTGCTGCAGCTTCAGCAGCAGCTACCGGCCGGTGGAGCTGCAGTGCGAAGTAATGGGCTTTTTCCGGGGCCCCATGAATGGATTTTTGGTGGGTTTTCTTCTCCGCAGGGGCCCCCAAAGCCCCGGAAAATGGGTTTAATGGAGCTTTTTGGAGCCAGTTTGAACGCAGTTTGGACAAAAAAGTCCCCGAAGTCTTCAAAGCCCACAGCCAGGGCCGCCCCGCCCTCGTTTTTTGCGTCACCAAAAAGGGCTGCGAAAACGCCTGCGAGGCCCTCGCCCAGGCGGGGCTGCTGCTGGTCTGCAGCAGCAAGCAGCAGCAGTGAGCCTGCTGCTGCTGCTGCTGCTGCTGCTGCTGCTGCTGATGCTGCTGCTGCTGCTGCTGATTAGGGTGACGGTGATGGTGGTGATGGTGGTGATGGTGATGGTGGTGGTGGTGGTGGTGATGATGGTGATGAGGATGAGGACGCTGCTGCTGCTGCTGCTGCTGCTGCTGCTGCTGCTGCTGCTGCTGAGGAATGTGCTGTTGCTGCTGTGTGTGTGAGATATGGGCTCATGTTTGCATGCAAATGGATAAGATTAGATGTCAATAAAGCATTTAAATGGAAGAATATTTGAATAAGAATTTTATTTTTTAATGAATTATTTATTTGCTGCAGATTTATTTGCTGCAGAGAGCTGGAAAAGCTGGCGAAAATAATGGACTCGAAATATGCGAAATATATTCGAAAAGGAATTTGTGTGCATCACTCGGCGCTGCAGCAGCAGCAGCGAGCAGCAGTGGAGAGCCAGTTCTTGCAGGTTTGCTGCTGCTGCTGCTGCTGCTG